AGAGGAGGCAAATACCAGTAGACTGGTAACAAAAGTCAGATGGATTGTAGAAAGTGTTAATGGTAGGCTGAAACAATGGCGCTTTTTTGACAAGGTTGTTTCGAACCATTACATTCCTTCCATCGGAGAATTGTTACGCTTAGTATGTGCATTGTACAACAAATATCGGCCTGCAATAGCAAGCACAAATGCAGATGATATCAAGATAGCTGAGGCAATGCTTGATAAAAGCAAGAAAGGAAATTTAGTTCAAGCGATTGTTGAAAATGAAGGATTAATTAATAAAAGAGTAATATATACTCTAGTTGACGGGTCATCTGCAGATCAGTTAAAAGATTTCCCGGTCTTATCTGAGGAAAAACTTCGCCAGATAACGATGGGGATTTACCAACTTAAGCAAGCCCCATTATATGTAAGAGAGCATATTGGAAATGATAGCGTATATCAATTGTATGTTTGCAAGATAAAGGCGAATTTAATAAAAATTAAATTGCAATCTCGTTTTAGTAACAGTTCCCCCCACAATGTATTTGTACAGTATACATTAGACGGTGAAATAAGTGGATGGTACTGTACTTGCAAGGTTGGAGCCAGGATTGTTGGATGCTGTGCTCACGTATCCAGTGTACTTTGGTACTTAGGATTACACCGACTTCAAAATACCTCAATTAATAGTCCCAGATTTACAAAGTCAGTTTTGGATGCCTCAGATCTACCTGACTTAGATACAGACAGTGATTGTAGTTCTGATGTTGAGGAATAGTTCTTCAATGCGTCTTGCTGTCGTTGGGCTGCGGTGTTGCTTTCTTTATATTTTGACATAATTTAAACAAAAATACTTTCCAAAAACATTTAATAGTCAGATATAAAAAAAAAATCGTAATCTATTTTCATATTCAATCGTAGTATGAACAGTATTGAAGATCATTTATTTGTCCATCCTGACTTAAACTTTTAATTCTTTAGCAACAAATGCATACGGTTTGCCTAATGTCATCAGCTTTTTATTTCAAACTTTATATGGTTGTTTAAATCCGCTTTGTTTATATCCTGCTTGAAATATTTTTCATTGGCATTCATACAACATCTCCTTAATTTATATTACATGTATATTGATTTTGTTGCGAAAGTTTGATTGTATACTATAAATTAGATGAAATTGTGTTAAGTTTGGTGTTTTTATGACCTGCTTGGGGTAATGGGAAGCTATCAATTTTCTTAGTAGATCTTACAGGAAATAGCAAAGACCCTTGTCTGTTTGTTTGTCTTCATTGATAGTTTTTGTTAAGCTTTTTAAGAAATCTTAAGGAAGGCATTGGCTATGATATTAAATCAGAACTATTTTTTTTTTATCAAAGTGGCATTTTTCTTTATTTTATCCTTCTTTATGCTATGAAACGAATAGCTTGTATTGTATTTGGTACTATTGTTAATTAAGTATAGAATATATAGGACATTGACTAATATTTAAAAAGGGATGATGTTCGAATATTATCAAACATGGATTTTGAAATTGGACACTTTTAACAGCACCACATGGGATTCTGATCATGTTTAATTAATAGCTTCTTTTATTAAATGACTTGGGTTAAGTGTACAAAATACCAGATTCAACTGTCCTTTCTTTAGAACCATGTATAACCATGATAACGGATTGTTGCCGTGTGTATTTAAATAAAACGATAGGTTTTTTTGCAAATAGATTTATTTGTTGTTTGACATTCAACTATTGAGATCTCATTTAAAAAAAACGATTATATAACGAATCTGTTTAACTAATTAAGTTTGTGAATCATCTGTGCTTAAGGGGGATGTTGAAGAGTTAGATATAGTTAGAGATTGTGATACAAATATCACATTTACGTTTTGTTTATAGAGATATATTGTTTGAACATTGCTGTTTACTGCTGTCTTTATTGTTTACTTTTAAAGGTCCAGCATTACCATGAAAAATAATGAACATAGCTGATATACTTATCAAACCAAAAATAAATATATATATAATAGTGTTCCTTTCATCTTCAACTAGGAATTTTCAAAATACATTTTAATAAATCCAAATGTACAAATTCTACTGGGATGGCTTTCATATTTTGTAAGCTTCACAAATATTCATTTTCATTTAAGTCAGTATTTTAGACATAAATACATGTTTCTTATTCACATCATTCTATGTTTATTTGACTTATTAAACACTTTGTTCAAAATAGATTTCTTTTTATTTATATAAAACAGAACAATCATTCTATGTGAATAAAGAGAATAACGTGAAACCCGGAGATGTGGGATTGATAGCAATGATACAGTAACCCAAAGTCTTAAAATAAACATTGCGATATTTTTCAAAGGTTATTTGTGAGTCAAACAGAAGCTGATGTTTCGAAATCTTACAATTCTCAAAATTATTGAATTTTGTATAAAAAATCAATATTTCATAGAAAATACATTTCTTCTATTTACATTACTCAATACAGGTGTCATTATCTCATATAAATACACATTCTGGTATTTTGCAGAGATTTTTTGTGAGTTAAACAGATGCCAATAATAATTTTCTGGAAATTCTCAAAATCATTAACTTTCGTATAAAAAACAAATACTTGTCTAGTATTTATAAAACTTGACAGATATCTGTAATACCTTTAACTAATCATTGTGATAAGATTTCGAGAAGAACTGGCGAGTAGTACAGAAGTTCAGGACATAAATCGTATAATTTTCAAAATCAGTGATTTTCATAAAAAAACAAGTTTTCCCCCAAAAAAAGTTGTCTGATCTCTACATAATTTCAACACTGTCTATTACTTCTATAAAGATAAATTGTGTCAAAATTTAGCAAATATCTGATAAGCAGAACAAACGTTAAATTCCAGTAACACTCTACAGAAGGAGTTCTGATATAAAAGGTTACGCACAGAACTACATTTACATATGCACGTGTAATATGACGCGCATGCGCGTGATAGCACCAAAATATGACCATATTTTTAATGGCCCGTCCCTAGGCTTAAGTTACTGCAATTATGGATTATTTTCAAAAGGGGACCAAAAATGGCCCCTTTCATACCTTGTCCTTTAACAAAACATCCTGAAGATTTAACGAGCGATTTGGTAAAATAAATTTGTCGTAATCTTTTACGGTTGCGAAGGAGTAGTATACACAAGAAAAACAGTGTTCGGGGAGATAACTCTTACAAAGTAAAGTTTTTTGTTTCGCGGTGTCAGTTTCAAAAGTGTATTAACTGTATGATATCATATACCAAAAATCTAAGCGACATATTTGGAAACAACAATACAGCGGAGGAAACAAATTAGGCCGAAGAAAAAAATTTAAAAAAATTAAAAACCAATTGCTCAAAGAACAATTGAAGGTCTTTCCACTTCTAACGATTTATTTTGATATGAAAATATTAAATTCCATTTCCAGTGTCAAATGAAAGCTCATTGTTTGATGTTTCTATATACTTTTAAATGAAATAAGTACAAAAAATAGTCACTTCCGGTTTGCTTTTTCAAAGTCATGTGCCTTGTACCTAATGCACAAAGTCCTATGGCTTTATGATGTACAAATATGAATTTAAAGCAAAGGTCAAAATCTAGAACGTCAAATTTACCTATGACCTTGACCTCAATTTCAAGGTAATAAACCAAGGACACTAAATCAAAAAACCCTAGGTCTTTGTTATGTTTGGTTAATGAGTTATATTACTATACGCATAGTTCTAAACATAAGAGAGGCGAAAACTCCAATTTGATGTAAACGCACCCTTTCAACTAAAATTCAAGAGCTACGACATGTCATAAATGACAATTTTAATAAAAATATGTTGTCGATATTTTGTACGGTTTATGAAAAGAAGTGAGAATAAGCCAAAATCAAAATTTAGAATTTGACCTGAACCTTTGACCTTGACCTTATTTTCTTTTTTTTTGGACCAAGGACCTCAAATCCGAAAACCTTAGGTCTCTATCACTTATGATTTACCAGTTACAAATGCAAATCAAATATATCAAATGCAAAAAGGGAAATAATTCTCATATGGATTCTCCAGAATACTTCGGTGTAAACCAAACTCAACATCCTGAAGATATAGGGAGCAATTTAGTTAAATAAATTTGTCGTAATCTTTTATGGTTGCGAAGTAGTAGTGCACACAAGAAACACAGTGTTCGGGGAGATAACTCTTACAAAATAAAGTATTTTGTTTAGCGGTGTCAGTTTTAAAAGCCTATTAACTGTTCGATATCATATACCAAAAATCTAAGCGACATATTTGGAAACAACAATACAGCGGAAGAAAAAGATTAGGCGGAAGAAAAAAAAACCAATCAGAACAAAAGCAAAAGGTCTTTCCACGGAAAAGTGGAAAGACGTAATAATCAGAACAAAAGCTAAAGGTCTTTCCATGGAAAAGTGGAAAGACCTAATAATCAGAACAAAATCAAAAGGTCTTTCCACGGAAAGGTGGAAAGACCTAATAATAATTAGAAGAAAATCAATAGGTCTTTCCACGGAAAAGTGGAAAGACCTAATAATAATAATAATCAGAACAAAATCAAAAGGTCTTTCCACGGAAAGGTGGAAGACCTTATAATCAGAACAAAACCAATAGGTCTTTCCACAGAAAAGTAGAAAGACCTGATAATAATTATAATAATAATAATTTTCTTTGAATCAAAAACAACCAGTTAGATACTTATCACTTGCTATTGTTTTTTCACAGATTATGTGTCTATACCCTTCATTATTAAAACATAGTTATTTATTAGCATAGGAAATACAATCATGTTTATCGATGATATTTCACATTTAACAATATATATTTATATAAACGTAAAAGAGGGACGAAAGATACCAGAGGTACAGTCAAACTCCGATTGAAAATAAACTGACAACGCCATGGCTAAAAATAAAAATAAAAACAGACAAATAATAGTACAGAAGACACAACAGTAAGATTCAGGTTTTAAACGCTGCCAAATTGTACAGTAACGATTACCTTTGTCTGATGTGTTTAGACACAGGAACTGTAGATCAACTGGGCAAATTTTACATTCCTCCATCGAATGAGCTGGATTTTGTAGATTTTCACATACACATGAATGCTCTCGACCTTTTTGAGAAAAAAATAATAGTTCAGATTTGCTATATCTCTGTACAACTAATTTAACAAATATGCATTAAAAATCCTTTTGAATGTTATACAAATATAACAACGATTGGAATGATAGTGATGGAAGTAATAGTACAAGTAATGATAACAATGATGACAATATTTAAGAACCAATTGTTCTCTAAACCAATTGTTCAGAGATCAAATGAACGTCTCTCAATTCAAATCAAATACAGTTTTGAATATTTGAAAACAAATATTAGCTGAAGATTCAACATATATATTATATTCTGAACTTTTTTTAATGAAATATGGGCATATAAACCACTTCCGGGAATGTAAAATATCAAACTCGTTGTCAAATAATAGCAACATTGTAATCAAATACAAAAAGTGATTCGAAAAGTATATGCTTTAGGTGTGTGGTTTTTTTTTTATATAATCAGAAAGATAATGCTATTTAATTAAGTTCTAGTATGAAGGTATAACAAAGATCGAAATTTAGAACGTGTGGATTCACCTTTGATTTTTAAATCAATATTAAGTTTACTGCATGTGACTTTGTTTTCATTGGTTTTTGGTTGGATCACTGAAAAAGATATATGTCTATGCCACTTACTGTTTATGAGTTGCAGTAATATTTCATTTATGTCGAATTCATATATATGAATAATAAACAGATGAATAACTCCAGTAACATGAGTAAAGAATTTCCAGACTGCTTCGTTAAAAAAGAACTTGATTGCGTGAGAATCTATTTTTTCTGGAACAATATTTATTTTATCAGGTGCGATCTAGACCATCTAGAATGATAGCCATTACAATGATAACAATAACGAACTTTAAAAGCATAAATAGAATGTGACTAAATCAGACCCAGTCCTTGTTAGCGGAGTTTAAACTTTTAAGCATAATTAAACATCTCTTAAAGTAAAACATTACCAATTTATTTATATATCCCCTAGATTATGTCAAGACTGAACGAAGGTTGCTTTGATATGAAATGCACATTTTACCTCTGATTCTGTTTTCTGTTATGTTATACACAGAAAAGTAATTGCTGCCACCACATTCATCTGTATTGTCTCCTGGGCATTGCTCTGAACATCTGGCATTGTGGTTTTCGTTCATGCTGCTGTCACTTCGTTTTGTCTGTTCAATCAATCTTCTTTGTGTCAAGCAAGAGCATGCTTTTTTCTACATAAACAACAAAATATTTGTTTAGTACTAATAAAACAAAATTATGTATCTAAGGATATAGTGGGAATGACAAAGGAATGCCGCTCAATCTTGTGCCACGGCTTTTAAGAGCTTGCAGTGGTGTGTGAGGTTTTAGTTTGCTTTGTAGGGCATTATAGTGACTTTAAGATGAAGAAAACCAATAAAACTATTGTATAGTCACTGTGGTAGTTTTTGTATATGCGTGTACGGGCTAAGTATGACATTTAGTGCATCGTATCCTTAGATGCTTAATACTAAATTTGATGTTGGAATATGTCTAATTTATTGAAATGTATGAACACATTGCATTTATATCGATGGAAATTGACAAAAAGCTAAAAATAAATATTGACACTTGCCCTATGCTTATTTCATCTTTGGATCATGCACTATGGTGTGTTTTATTTGCTTTGTGTTGCAGTTTTGTTTCATTGCTGATACTAAAAAATGTTTTAAAATGTAAATAGTCCTACCACCTAGAGTAGGACCGATTTATGGTTTGCTAGTATATTATTCAAATGTAAACTTTTTAATGACGAAAAAAAATACAGTGGTTTCTTGGGTGCAATTCTATATCGAGATTCATTTCTTGATGCTCCAAATTGCAGGTATAATGGCTTATGAATTTCTTATGTTTGCTATGCCTGTGTTTAACGGAAAATGCTTTGTATTTACTTATAACTTTTGTCTTCTTTTGCTATTCCTGACCATTTATATAGCAATTTTGACATCTGGCATCTTAAACTTTTTCTGTACTTTACTACTTGGTAGAGTATCAAGGTATGGGTGATTAACGGTTTTTATTCTACATTGTTTTTAATTAAATGTGAGCATACCTTAAAAAGAATAACATCGTTCGTTTTGAATCCACGTTCTTGACAGAAGAGTACACAGTTTAACACGTCATTATCAGAAATGTTCTTGCTGTCTGTGTTAATATGTGCTGACTTAATATCGAAACAACCTGTGAAACGAATGGTTAGTATACTTTAGAAAAATTACGGTAAACTAAACAAGAAAAAAAGTGTATGAACAAATTGCTAACAAACCTATACATTTTGGAAGTGCATTAAAGGAAAGAAGAAAATAAACCGAATATTATCTGTATGTCCCTTTAACTCATCCTAATACTGACGTTGCATTGTGGTGTCTTCACTGAAAATGCAGGAAAAATACCCCCTGTAACAAAGGGACAATGGAGATAGTTTAACAGAGGAAAACCGTGTATTTAAACAAAAGAAAACAAACTTGTAATAGTTAACCAATTCTGAACTGAAAGATTCATTTTGTACTCAACAGCTCTTAAAAGACTGAATCATGTGCAGTCTTTCAGTCAATTTTCAAACTTATCCACTGCGATGAATTCAGGACTGTTCAGTCAATTCGCTTGTAGTAAACTAACCTGTACAAACTACCAACGTACTGAATTTTCTGGAAAGGTACTGAAAAGTAGGGGATTAAATAAAAGCAAAGTGTCTGGACAGTACTGATTTTCTACAAGAAAATAAATGAAAAATAATTCAAACTTTTAATAAGACTTCACGTTTCAAGAATTAAATTTTTATCATAAAGTTAAAAATCAAAATAACCGCTTAAAACACAAATTCGTGTACTAGTGAAGACCAACAACTGACATCGACCCTCTGATGTCCCCTTGTATTGGCTAATTTACTTTAGCCCTTGTTCTATACTCAGATTTCGACCTTACCAAGATATTCCATGATTGGTGACATCAACACATATCCATTTACCCAATATGTGTCGTTAATATTAATTGTTTTATCTATTCCTTTAAGATTTATCTTCTTGCAGGTTTCCGGTTGACAGTTGCTAAAAGCATTTTTGCCAGCGACTTCGTAACCTGTTCCACAATCGAAGTGAGTATTCAAAACGTTTTGTTGGCTGGTGACTTTGAAGGTTGTTCCTGTTTGGTAAAGAATGTATTTTTACAATTACAGCTTCGTCTGTAGGATGTCATGTGTTTTATATTGTTCAATTCCACAATAAAACAGGTGTTTTTTACTACTTATAATGTAGTCTTTATGAAACAAGTTGTTTCATTTCCAATCCACAATTGATTCTTTTGTACTAACAAGAGCAACACGATGGGTGCCACATTTGGAGCAGGATGTGCCCACTCTTTCAGAACACCTGAGATCATCCCCAGTTTTTTGTTGGGTTCGTGTTGCTCAGTTTTTAGTTTTCTTTGCGGTGTTTTTTTTTGTACTATTGTTTGTCTGTTGTTTTATTTTCCCTTTTTAGCCATGACGTTGTCAGTTTATTTTCGACTTATGATTTTGAATGTCTCTCTGGTATCTTTCGCCTTCTTTGACATGTCCTGGGCCGCCATATTGAATTACTTGAATCCCTAAATGTTCTATTAATACAATAATATCAAACATATGAAAAAAACCTTAAAAATCCAACATTAAAGATTAGCAATTATCCTATTTGAAGCGTACGAAAAGCGGAATAACCACTATTTTGAAAGCTGTATATTTATGAGTCAAATTGTGTCGTGATGTCAATGCGCAAAAATCATTCATGAAATTTATAGGATTCTTTTTTATTTTATGCATTTTCCTTTGCTGTAATGTGCTACATTTGTATCTCTTTTTTTATTATTATTATTTGTTTTTTTATATATAAAACATCAAAATAGGAATAACAGTGCTGCACTTGAAGAGGTGTCGCCGTCAATTGAGATTTTACCGTTGTAAAAATCCGTTTAGCATCATTTGCGACCCGGCAAATGCCCAATTGACGACTGCAACACTTCATCTACCAAAAAAACAAATTCTGTAGTTTTAAAATACGACTGTAAAATGACTTCCCTAAAGTACACAAGATGAATAGGTACCAAAATACGCGAAGAAGTATTTGACCCACAGCTGTGCCTTAAACATAATAGCCAAATCGATCTTCGGCAATTTTGTTTCAAACTAAAATTAGCATTTTAATTTAAAATTATATGTGGATAAGAATATAAAAGACTACTGTTACAACAACAAAAAATACAAAAATTGTTCGATGAAAAACATTAAACATTAAATATGCCATTTAATATAGCATAAAACATATGATATTTGTTTGTTTTTTTATCATGTTCATTGTTATGTGTAAAACAAAAGCACCAACATTAAAAAATGTATATGTCATTGTGTCTAAACTACCCCGGCAAAAAATGTTTGGACTCGATGGTATCTAATATCCGGCACGGTGACGGAACATCAATAGACAGAAAAAAGGTAGTTTCCTGTTAACTTATTTGTTATTTTTGTGATATCGAAGAATATATATACATATATAACTATTTTCTATTGTGCGATGTAATATTTTCTACAACTGTTCTAGATTAACGGAGAAATAAGTAAAAAATGCACGTCAACATGACGAATTGAGTGAACCTTGCCTCGAATTTGTTTAATTTCTCCTTAAATTGTTCACATGGTACGGAAAGAAAGGTACGGAAAGAAAGATATTGACATGGAGATTGCAAAACTAGTCACTTTGAGCACCTCAATCCTTGTATTTCTGGGTATGGAACGAAAGAAATAGGTCATGTCAAAATGGAAGCACCCGGTTTTGTCAATGTTGTTTACTACACAATGACCCGGTTTTGTCTATGTATAGAACCCGGTTGTGTTTATTTTATGAAAAACAACGTTAACACTGGTACCCTGAAACAAACAAAAATAAATTTACTAATGACTGATCATGTGGGTTTTCAAACCAGATACCTCTATAAAGCGTGTGGCCAAGTTTAATTAAATTGTTAAAGAGGAGAAGATTTTTGTAAGATAATTGGCAAAAACGCAAAGAAATGGTAAAAATCGTAATAAAAGGTCAATTATTCTTACAAGGATATCGACCAAGTCGACTTCTTCGTATATATTGTCTTGCTGATCATTTTTGCTATATAACTTTTATATATTTCAAGATAATAGACAGAAATGGACTTGGACTTGGGTGGAGAGTTGTCTCATTGGCACTCATACCACATCTTCTTATATCTAGAAATGGAAAAAAGGAGAAATTTGTCATTCAAGGACATTAACTTCTATAAGAACTCGTGTGAGAGTTTTGATGTGTATGGACAAAAGGTAAAGCTCAACATTATGAATATATTTGCCCCTGTTAAATTTTCTCTATCTATAGCTGTTTTCAAATAATAGACAAAACTTGCATCCCCCTATGTTCTATCTTTGTTGACAAGCGTGGTTCATCAAAAACTTTTTAAACTAGATAACCCAATGATGATGAAAAACAGTTAAGCATAAGTTTGTTAGACCTTTTAAAACCGACATAAGATTGTGGATAAGGTTTGTTAAATGTATTGTAGCCCAGTAATTTCAGAGGAGAAGATTATGTAAAAAAAATAACGGAAGACGACGGACGATGGGGGCCAAGTGATGAAAAAAGCTCACTTTTCCCTTAGGGTCAGGTGAGCTAAAACCAACCAAGAATTCCAAACAAGATTGCACCGTTCTTGAATTAAAAAAAAGTCTAACATTTCATAAATATCGCTTACACGAACGAGATGAACTAATCAGACATGGCAAAACAACTTCAATTGCGTTTTTTTTTTAACAAAAATAAATACTACTACGTATTATTTATACAGGATTGACTGTACGCACTGACATGTCGCGACTGCTTGAATGATCGTTATCGAAACTATTTTGAAGGTCTGTAAGATAAATAATTTAATAAAAGTATCTCATAAAATTAACATTGTTCATGGAACCATAAAAAAGTCAAGGTCTGATGAAACCTGCCAGACGGACATGAACACATTACAATCATTAAAACCAACCAAAAAAAATCTTAACATTTACCAATTAATCATGAAAATAAGTTCAAGCTAGGTCACTTAAATAGTCATGTGCACCATACGAGCAAATCTAGTTGACCTTTTACTTATGGTATTAGAGATATGGACTTGAACACGAAATGTTAACCTTGATCAAGGATATCAACCATTATCAGCTATTCATTTTGTTAGGAAATCGCTGAACCATGAAAATGAGGTCAAAGGCAATGGACACATGACAGATAGAAACATCGTTACATAAAAGATCTGTGTGCGAGGTATCTTGCAGTCAGGCCTTCTAACTTCTGACATATGAAGCTTCATACAAATAGTTCAAGCCGCCACGAATTTGCATCCCTTGGTCTCGCATTCCGACAATTCCAAAATATCAATGTGAATTTTTAGAATAAACATGGTATCCTACTTACATACATCCAATTTCGCGGGTGTCCTTGCTTTCTTCTTTCTTCTTTCTTATAAAATTTGCTACGCTACGCTCTGCGGTTTGTAAGCTGTTTGAATTACGCCCACTTTGAAAAAACATGAATCCGTCCTTATATAATTTGATTTTGGATGTAACACGTCCTCTGATTGGCTGAAAGTGTAGCTCATAGACATAATTTTGTCATGTGACCGCGACGTCATCAACATTTTTATCATGGTTTACTCCTTTTTAGAATTAAATTATAAGGAATGACTTAAATATTTTTTCTGTCTATTCGAAATAACATAAAAAATGTGGTACACACTTTTAAATAACCCGCTACGCGTGTTATTCAGGAAAGGGGGACGAAAGATATCAGAGGGACAGTCAAACTCATAGATCGAAAACAAACTGACAACGCCATGACAAAAAACAAAAAAGACAAACAGACAAATAATAGTACAGATGACACAACATAGAAAACTAAAGACTATTTTTTCAATGCAAAGCAAAATTATAATTATTTTGTTCCAATAAAGTAGGAATTAAGTGTTTACAGATTCAAACAAATAACAGGTTGTCCTCTGTTAGAAATCTTTTTCCAACCAGCCATCAAACTCCTTTTAATTGCTGAAGTTGTTATGCGATTATGCATTTTTTTCTTTGACAAAACCGGGTTCTGCCTTGTGAAATCTAGGACAAAACCGGGTTGTACACATTGACAAAACCGGGTGCTTCCATTTTGACATGACCCATTTCTTTCGTTCCATACGCAAAAATACAAGTATTGAGGTGCTCAAAGTGACTAGTTTTGCAATCTCCATGTAAATATCTTTCTTTCCGTGCCTTTCTTTCCGTACCATGTGAACAATTTAAGGAGAAATTAGACAAATTCGAGGCAAGGTTCACTCAATTCGTCATTTTGACGTGCATTTTTACTTATTTCTCTGTTAATCTAGAACAGTTGTAGAAAATATTACATCTCACAATAGAAAATAGTTATATATGTATAAATATTCTCCGATATCATAACAATAACAAATAAATCAACAGAAAACTACCTATTCTCTGTCTATTGATGATCCGTCACCGTGCCGGATATTAGATACTATCGAGTCCAAACATTTTTTGCCGGGGTAGTTTAGACACAGTGTATGTGTAACGATTAAAAAAAAACGCAGGTGAGTGCTTGAAAGATAATACAAGATTCATAGGTATACATGGTATATGTATGACATTTGAAATGATGATCATGGGTTCGCGCATGGCACTTTATACGACAGAATATATGCATGCCAATTGATGAGACACTTATTGATATAAGCATAACACTTTAGGAGACAATTTTTGAGGTTTGAAGTAAGATAAAGTTCGTTGCATATACAACATAACTCCATAGTTTTCACACCTGTATTTTACGGTTCCTTGCTCTTTAAATCAGCACTAAGCTCAGTCACTTGCTTGCAATTTTCTGATATCAGTGAACAGAGATTTTTTTCATAACATATTATACTTGAATATCTCTATTCTATGCGCATTAAGGATATTAAAACAGATGGTTTAGCGGTAATTGATGATATTCAATACAGTTTATAAGAGAGTCACAGTGTACAGGTTGCCAATTAATGAGACAGTTACCGATATATGCATAGCAGTTTTGAAGGCAGTTATGGGTAACTGCATGCCAAAATAGCACGCCAATTATTGATGCATGCATAACACTTGAGAAGGTTGTCATGGTTATGTGCATAACGGTTGATACGACAGTCTTGATATATGCATAGCAACTGATACAACAGTCATGGGAATATACATTGATATAACCGACGTTTGATAGAATAGGTACGGCTTATCGTTTTACCCTTAACGTTCTTAATGCAGCGGTCATGGGTATATTCATGACAGTTAATACGACCACTGTAGTTCTGTAAATGCCAGTTGATACGGTGTCATGGATATATTGATGTCAGTTGATACCACAAGCATTGCTTTAATCATGTCAGATGAACGAGATTTAAAGTAGTTGATACGACAGTAACAATGTTTTGTTATATATGCATGACAAATCACACGGCGGCCATACGTATTCACATGGTACTTGATATGATAGTTACACTGTATGCATGTTAGACAGTTGGAAGGAAAGTTAAACAGTATTTTCATAATATGTATGCTTCTGGAAATAATAGCCTAATTGTATACGCATGACTGTTGATATGATACTCACATGTTATATATATGACAATTAAAATCACAGTCATGTGTATAGATATTATCTTTGGTATATGTGAGTCTCAGTGTATATCCTTATTGTTGATATCAGAGTATCAGTGTATACACTTTCATCAAAACAAACTAGCGGTAATGATATCGCAAATGGCTCCGTGCGTTGATTACGTTAAATGCCAACAAACAAACAATTCCAAATTTTGATTATTTCAAATGTTCTTCAACATTGAAGGCCACAATGTGACTTATACTAGTTGCTTATATTTAAGCAATTTGGTCTCTTCTGTTTAATTGTGTTTGTACCTTAATGCACATATATAATTTATATATATACCTTTCAGCACCCCATTTCTTCTTCATGTGTTATTGCATTGATACATATACATATATTTGTCGTTGTCTTATCCAGTTGAAGGTAAAATATGTGTGTTAACTTAATATTCTTATTGACCTATCCTACCTTTAACAGAATACATAAATCCAAACAGAAAATATGCCTCAAGATACATCGTGTCATAATATCGTGCGTTCAAGGTGGATGCTGAAATGGAAAAACAATTACGCGGAAATAAATAAACACAATGTGTAATTTTCAATTTTACATCCATTCTAAAAAAAATAGTTAATTATGTTCAAGAAGACGTGGTATACAGAACAACACAACAATTGTTCAAGCACTTAAACTAACTATTTTTAGAAATACTTAGACACTAAACGTATAAATTCTAACATGTGCATATTTTTTTCTTCGCAGAGAATAGTGCGATTTTGTAATATTTTTAAATGTAAAACGATTTCTTATCAAGTAACACAAATTTATGAACCCAATCTGAGGTGTCTATATGGCTGTACGGGATTTATCATATAAATTAGCTGCCACGTCTGAACAGAATGAAGACGTTAAATTCGATGCCTCGAGAAGATAGTGCCATGCTCTCTTCACTATTCAAGCATAGCATTTTCAACTTTCTGTGACCCTTTTTTTTGGAATACCTTAAATGCATTTAAGGCACTTGATAAAAAGAAATTGCTAGGAATTATCCCCTCAGAAAACAATAACATTCAGTTTAAACCTGATTTGAATCCTATGTATGTTCGTCTTCTCAACACTTCTAAGAATATTCTCTAAATTATTGTTTTTTTTCCAATCAATCAGTCAATCAAATACGAAACAGAAGTGTATGTGACATGTGTATTGTGCATTGAATTATATTAGATTAGTTATTTTTAGAGAACGCAATCTATTTCAAAAAGAGAATTTCTATTTTATTCTCTTTTTTCGATGTTTTCTATTTGTGTGAACAAAATATTCCAACAAACATTTAACTGGCATGATTGTAACACATATATTTGATAATGGTATCAAATAACACTACACAACAAAACTAGGAGAACAATCTCAAGAAATAAACACATTTTACTTTACATATACAGGAAACGTAGAAATTATTTGTTAACAAGTATTGGGGAAAGTTCCCAATAAAGTTGATAACCAATCAGATATCAATAATTTGGGAAATTTCCTCAAAAAGATGATGACCAACAACAAATCAATAGAATGGGGAAATTTCCCTAAAACGATGTTAACGAAAAAGAAATCAATAGAATGATAAAATCTCCCCAAAATGATGAAACTAAAAAGAAATAAATAGAATGGTAAAATTTCCCCAAAAAAGACGATAACCAACAAGAAGTCAATAGAATGGGGAAATCTCCCCAAAAAGATGATAACCAACAAGAAATCAATAGAATGGGGAAATTTCCCCAAAAAGACGATAACCAGCAAGAAGTCAATAGAATGGGGAAATCTCCCCAAAAAGATGATAACCAACAAGAAATCAATAGAATGGGGAAATTTCCCCAAAAAGATGATAACCAACAAGAAGTCAATAGAATGGGGAAATCTCCCCAAAAAGATGAAAACCAACAAGAAGTCAATAGAATTGGAAAATTTCCCCAAAAAGATGATAACGAAAACGAAAACACTAAAATGGGGAAATTTCCCTACAAAGTTGATAACCAAAAAAAAAATCAAAAGTCTAGGGAAATTTCCCAAAAAAGATGATAACGAAAACGAAATCACTAAAATTTCATAACCAAAAATAAATCCATAGACTGGGGAAATTTCACAAAAAAGATGGGAACGATACCGAAATCAATAGAATGGGGAAATTTCCTTACACAGTTGATAACCAAAAAAAATATTTAGACTGGGGAAATTTCTTCACAAAGATTTTAACCAAATAGTTATCTATAGACTGGGGAATTATTCCCACAGAGATGATAACCAAAATAAGTTCACAGGCTTGAAGAAAAATACTCATGCATTGCACAATGATTGCACATTCCGTTGTATACAACAGCGAGAAGTATGTCGTCTAACAGATACTGTAAGAATAGAAAAGAGTCACTGCGGTGAAACATTTTCAGCAGCAGATAACACAATTGAAAGGAATCATTGGCTGGGGAAACATTCACACTGATAAATTAAACAACAAACATCAGAGATAGAGATGATACAGTATAGGAAATGGGCTAATTTCCTCACAAAATCTTGTTTAACTGTAATCATGTATATCGAGGCCTTTAATAGGCGACTAAACAGTATGTTTTTTCTCATGTTGAAGGCCGTAAGGTTGCCATTAATTGTTAAAAACCACTTAAAATGATCTTTGAGGAATAGTTGTCTTATTGACAATCATACCCGATCCCCTTATTTTTGAATAGCTATACATTAACTCGTATGTTTTTATCTGTCGGGTCCTCGGTGGCCAAGTGCTACAAGTAGTCCAACTACTGTATCACTAGCCAGTCAACGCTGAGATTATGAATTCGAATTCCGCTCGTGCAAGGTGCGCTCGACTCCAATCTTAATTGACTAGGCCAATGATTGTCAGTTTTCCTATCGAAGGTTCGTGGTTTTCTTCGGGCAATCCGGCTTCCCCCATCAATAAAAAATGACCACCACGAAATAGCACATTATGTTGAAAGTGGCGTTAAACACCAACAAATCAATCAATCAATCAATTTAATCTGGTGAAATTCCCAGCCCGTTTGAAAAAAATTACACCCTATGGGAGACCATGAAAAAAATTGACACATTTGAAGTGAGTTTATAATCTTGCAGAATGTGGTTTTAATTTCAACTGTTCAACATTTACAGCAAATATTATAATTCAAACCATACAGATTAAATAGAAAATAAGCTCTGTCCTTTATTTGGTGTCTTTATACAGCAGTAATAGATCATGCCTTAAGTTGAAGTCTTCTTTTCCTTGCCTGTAAATATATCATGCCTTGAGTAGAAGTCTTCTTTTCCTTTCCTGTAAATATATCATGCCTTGAGTAGAAGTCTTCTTTTCCTTTCCTGTAAATGTATCATGTCTTGGGTAGAAGTTCTTTTCCTTTCCTGTAAATAGATAAATCGTTGATACAAAAGATTGATACATGTACCAGACAGTGTGACGTTACGTTAATATTATAAGGAAGGTTCCATTTTATTTTTAGGGGAGGGGGCTGGGATGAAATTTGAAAAAAAAACGTCAGGACCGAATAGAGGGAAAAACAAAAAGAAAAAGGCAGGACAGAGATTACAATTAAAAAAAAAGTATGCAGGACAACATTTTTCATCCTCCCCCCTTTTTCCCCCAATTAAAGTCAAATGGTAGCTCCCTTACGTATAAATAAACCTGCTATATGTATATCGTTACAGGGTTAACTGCATTGAATGTCTCAATACTTTTTGTTATCGTCATTCTGACGTTGATATCTATAAAATGAGAAGATTGTACCTGCATAGGGCAATTTTGATATCATTTAGAAAGAGTACGAGCACCTTTACAGACATTCTGATATCTGAGTATACAACAAATTTTGAGGAGGTTTGCGCGAACTATAAGTTCAGTTTTAGAATATGTATCATGAGAATCATTCTGTCAACACTGTGTTAATCGGGACAATTTTCAACTCGATATTTGATTCATAAAAATTAGGACAATACAAATATTTAAAAATAGATGTGAAACCCTGTCTAATTTAGAAAAGATGGAGTTACAGTCTATACATGACTTTCTTTCACTTGCAGTATATTTACATATTTGCCAATGTGCGTTTTTGTATTGGCAGCAGAAATGTCCTTAAAAACTAGTAAGTCTATTTCCTCATCAATTGACTACGCTTGAGAATTGGCAATAGTTAGGAATAGTTCACGCTCACGATTTTTTTACGACACTGTATGGTATAATAGCGTCATAGAGTATAGAAGTTGTGGTGACGTTACAGTAGAAATTAAATAAGGTCACCGAATTTGTTTTTTTCCGCTAAAAATCAAACCTTAAAGAAATGCATTCTAAAAAAATAAACTAAATAAATGGGAATGGACACAGATGCTGACCTTGCTTGCATATAATGTTATAAAGGGACACAACTCAAGAACTGTAAAAGTGACGCTACCCAAATGTGTACTTGCTCTAAGTTTTGTGGTAATTAGCATTGTGTATACGTTTCATAACATTTAGTTGAGGCAAACTTAAGTTAGACAACCGAAACAAAAAATCCAGCAATTTTTCCATTTGTAAAGGGGCATAACTCTAGAACGGTAAAATATGACGCTACCAAAGTAACTCGAATAATTCAATCCCTCTCCGTGTCCGATTTACTTCCACGCGAGGGCTTGAACTCTTAATGATCATTGGTCGCGTCGCTGGCTCTCTGTGAGAGAGAGCCAATCGGCGACGATCAGATTGTGAGTCTGCGCAAATCTATGAAAACAGTTTCCGCCCGCAATATATAAACAATCAAAATGGATGTCGTTAATGCTTTGAAAACAATAGAGATGAAATATGCCTTTAATTTTAAAGAAAAACAGCTTGAGTCGGTAAAATACATCATGGAGGTTAAAGATACATTCGTTGTCCTACCAACAGGATATGGGAAAAGCAAAATATACTCCCATTTACCCGAGATTCATGGACTTGTGAGAGATACTCCTGGTACAGTGCTTGCTTCAGTCTTTGATGAAAGATCAGGTTTCTAAGCTCAATAAGATGGGAATTTCAGCAACTTTAGTTGGAGAATGCCAAAGTGACAAGAACATTGCTGATATGATACGAGAGGGTATATATCAGTTGGTATTTTCTTCTCCAGAAGCTGCCTTGACACCAGGGTTTTGGAGACGTTGCTTTACCACTGGAATATTTCACGACAACCTCTTTGCTGTTGTTGTTGATGAGGCTCACTGCATCATAGAATGGTAAGTTATCACGGTATTGATTAAAATGATACTATTAGTGTGTCTATACTATACAACATTGTCAGCTGATCTAAGCCTTGATTAAGATCATGCATGAAAAAATAATATGTGGAAGAAGTATGATTGCCTATGAGACAACTCTCCACAAGAGACTGGATGGCATTTTGCAAATGAACAAAACCTGTACCACACAGTCTGTAAAAATTTCAAACGATACATGTTATGTTGTATGTATATATTTATAACATATACTTTTAATCATTTGTTTTTTTGCTACAATGTAACAATAAAACAATTTAATAATGTGTAGGATTTAATAATGTCCCCCATGAAATAATGTCCACCGAACATTATTTCATAGTAAGCACTGTTTAACATTGTATTATGAGTATCTATATTTGCATAACAAATATTTATGGTTTTTGTATATATTTTTTCAGGGGTGATG